AAGTATCCTAATTATATTTTTCCTAAAATGTGTTTATATCTTTAGAATGGAGTTGAACATCAAGAATATTACAATTTTGACTGGGTTCCAAGAAAATTACAAGACCTCTTCATTTGACAAGCCTAGCATTGCATGTAAGGTTGCAAGCAGCATTTTCATTCCACTCTTCTTTGTGGTGGGAGTTCCAGGAAATATTAATGTCCTGAAAGTTTTAAGACGCCATCAACACATTTTCAACCAAGTAACAAAGTGGACTCTTCTTCATTTGGCCATTTTTGATTTGATATCTTGTTTGGTGAACTTTCCAATGCTGCTTGTGGTGGCATCGGGTGAAATACCGAACGACAAAGCTGTTCATGTTTTACAAATCGTCTCCATTTGCTTGACAAATGCAACGATGTGGAAGAACTGTGCGTGTTTGATTCTTCTTGCTTTGATACGCCGCGATGCAACGATTCGAGCGTTTCATTCACAGGTCATTACCATCCGGCGACTGAAAAGATGCCTTTGTGCAACATGGTTTATATACTTGTGTATTATCTTTAGTGCGTTCTACATCTTCCTTGAAGTACCTTACACGTTTGGGCCTCCTCGAACTATCACAAGAGTCATTGCTAACCAGGTGTCTCTGGCCACGCCCACTATGCTGGTGTTACTGAGTTTAACATTTATTTACGTTCTAAAATCTTATTGTAACATCAGAAGCTTTTTAAGGACGCAGGCCGATAATATGGAAACTTATATTACAATTCACCAAGCAAATGCACGACGCGAGAATGAAAGAAAACTTTGTAGGGCCATGTTACAGGTCACAATTGTGTTAGCTGTGACAGCAATACCTCCCACCATCATGCCAATTTTCCATAAAACGATCAGCGTAGATGTTTGCATCATAACAAGAGTTCTCACGTTACTGAATCAAGTAACAAACCCTTTCATTTACTCAAATATCAGCGAGGACTTCCTGAGATTTCTTCCTTGCTTTAAATCTTCATGCCTGGAGAGAAATCACTCTGTCGACACCGCGCAAAATTTACCGCTTGAGGACGTTACGCCTTACGTGACTGCTTCAAGCGCGCAAGAATTCCCTGTTAGCCTTGATACAAACGCTTTAGAAGGGGAGACAGCAAACCCTGAATTAATCAGCAGTAATAATACTACTGCCATGCGTGAACATCAAGTTAGGACACATTCTCAAAATTCGCGAGTCCACTCTAATAAGCCAGTTAGAAGTAGGGACAGCGATGCTCCATCCACAAGTCATGCGCGGTTTCTTGTTTCGTCGGGACGTTTCCTAAGAGGACAAGATTTGCCAACTGTTGATATCTAATTTGATACAGGACAGAAGAAATTCTCCCATTTTTCATGTAGTCAAACAAGAGTGAGCGAGCACTGGGTACCAAATTAAACATAGTCGCTGGTTAGTAAAGACATGAGAAAATAAGGCATATAATCTCTTGGTGATGAGAAGTGGATTCATGGTGTAAATAACATGATCAGGGATTTTTCATTCAGTCAACCATAACGTACGTGGATTGTTATAAAATCAACGTTAACTATAGAGATCTTACGAATAATTTTTATTCACGTTATTAGCCGCATTTCAACGCAGCGGTCAAACATCGGGCATGTGCGAGGGGACCAATTGTGGCCGGCCGCGCGCCAATTTCCCGCGCAAAATCTAAAAGGGAAAACATCAGAGACAACAGCTGTCTCGCAAAATTGAAACTCTCAAAGAAATCTGTAAAAGGAAACAAAATCAGGAAAAGGAAAACTCGAGACTTTTCTCCTCAAGTCACCCCATACTTATCGCCAACTTAACGCGTCACGGTTGAGTCCAGTTGAAATGGCCACTTACATAACGAAGGGAAGGCAGATCCTTTCTTGTTCAGCGAGGTCGTTCAGTGATAAACTAGTGGTGATTTAGTCATCCGCTGACTAGCTCCGCTGACTAAGCTCATTTGGACAGTTTAGGCGGACGACCAGAGACTGGAGCCGTTCCTGTATTTCACTGATGACAGGAATGGTTCCGAGTCATGCATTTATGAATTTTTTTTTCGTTTTGGCTAAATAATTTACCGTATTTACCCGTGTATAATACGCGCCCATATATAATACGCACCCCGATTTTTGACCAAATTTTTCATAAAAAAAAGTTTTCACAGCAAAAAAAACGTTAATTCTCCCTACAACTGACGTTTCGCAGTGGTAAGTTTCGTTACCATTTAGAATTTCTTATCGCTTGTGATTACAGTAATACGGTACGATCGTAATGTTTATCTCGTCAGCTGTTTCTTAAATACTCTACTAAATTTATTTATGGATCGAAACTGAAAATGTTTCATTGGTATATTATTTAACTCAAGCCAATAAAGACCAGTTTCTACGAGGCTTTCTTTAATTTCTTTGTTGTGTTTGCGGATCGAAATTGAAAATGTTTCATCGATCGATTATTTAACTCAAGCTAATAAAGACCAGTTACTACTAGGCTTTTGTTACTTTCTTTGTTGTGTTTTTAACGTATGCAAATTAGGACGTGCTTGAAAAACAATCAAAACCGTGAATAATACGCACTGCAATTTTGACGGTTATTTTTATAGAAAAAAGTGCATATTATACACGGGTAAATAAATGAGATAAAAACTGAAAGAGCATTTTGAACTTTATAATGCTTGTAAATGATGCCCTCTTATATTTATAGAGGGCCATGTAGTTTCTAACTGCACGTCACATTTGGAAAATCACGCCATGTTGCGTGACGCTGCGATCTAAGTTACAGTATGAATAAAGGGGTAAGTTTCTAAAGAAACTGTGGTGCTGCGTCGGTGGGAGAGTATAGCAGGTAATTTAGTGTCAACTGAGTTGAAAACGTAAATTGGCCACCTTGAAGAGTAAGAAAGCTGGCGTTAGAAAGATCCCCAAGATGAATTTCCATTGTCTTGTACCTATAGCCGGTAGGATATCAGGACGCTTAGAAAATTCTACCCGGCTAGAGGTACAGCTTGCATACTTAGTCAACTTTGCTCAACTGTTACCACGATTTACTTGACATTTTACTCTTTCTGCACTCCAAATTAGTCTTACATTCCTCTCAATCACTTTTTTTCCAAGAACACGTACATATTTATTTATTTTTATTTGGTCTTGTACCTCTAGCTGGTAGGATGTGAGGGGGCTTATAAAATACTACTGGCTGGAGGTTCAGCTTGCATACTTAGTCGACTTTGTCCAATTTTTATGATAGTTTGCTCCACATTTTCTGTTTCTGCACTCCAAATTTGTCTTACACTCTTGGAATCACTTTTTACAAAAGAACAATTACATTTATTTTTTTCATTTGGTCTCGTACCTTTAGCTGGTAAGAGCTTAACCCTTTATCTCCCATGAGTGACCAAAACAGAACTTCTCCTTACAATATCAGTACAATATCAACCAGATAAGTGATGAGAATAGAGAAAAATATCAATTAGGGGATGATTAGTTGATCCAATACTAAATTCTCTGAACTAGCATTTTAAGAATTGTATGTTTGACAGTAAGGAGAATTACAAATTTGATCTGGGAGTTGAACGTTTAAGAGGCATAGAAAATACTACTGGCTAGAGGTACAGCTTGCGTATTTAATTGACTTTGGCCAATTTTTATTACAGTTTGCGTTGAATTTTACTCTTTGGCACTCCATTTTCACTACATTAGAGTCACTTTTTTCATGAATATCTTCTTGTTTCTTGGTCGTGTATTTCTAGTCGATAGGATCTTAGCTGGCTCAGAAAATACCACAGGTTAGAGGTACTTCATGCGTTTAAGGTGAATTTAGCTCATTTTATTTACTTCTCGATATATGGTAAAACCTTTCTACATTCCATGTTAGTCTTGTACTGTTGTGGAGTCACTCCATAGGTATATTTTCACGCTTTGCAGTCTTGTTTATCTGGCTAGTAGGAGCTGCTTGGATTACTCAGAAAACACTTCCAGCCAGAGGGGCAGCTTATGTATGTGAAGTAAGCTTGAAATCATTAACAGCGTTATGTTTTAAATGAATTTCAAGGTATTAAATTTTAAACTAGCCTGATTTTTATTTTCTTCAGTTGTGGATTTATTGCGATATAAATATAACCGGTTTTAGATGAGTTTGACTTGAAATTCATTTTTCCCTGAGAGACCGCTCAGATGCCCTACTCTACGCATGCGCTTAAGTATTCCATTCTTTGAACAATAAGGTTAGCAATGACATGTCCAGAAATAACAATTTGATACCTTACAATCCCTGCCCTTATGTTATCTTTTGGTTGGGCTTTCCCATAACACGTTGCGAACCTATTCACTTCCGCTTTTCACTGGTGTGGAAACGAATTTGCATGTTTGACGACGCTTAAGAACCAGTAGTTCGATGTAGTTCGAAGGAAAAAACTCTTAAGGTAAGACGCTTAATTTCACATTTCCTCCAACTCCTCATTTAAAGTTTTACTGATGATCTGTTGAAGTCATGATAGCTTTTGTGGTTGAGAAATCTGTCGAATGAGCGCAATTTAAGTGAGTGACGTGTGTGAACCAGCTCGCAAATGGAAATCGGAGAGATTTTCATTAGTTTCG